AGGTACAAAAACATTACTCTTTGTTAGAACTGAACGGTTATGAATTAGCTATGCCTTGCAGCTGCTCCAATTACACAAAAATCTCACTTGAGCCATCATATTCTCGTCATCAATGCACTGCCGGATAATCAAAGATATCAAGACTGATGTAGATGGTGTCGTTGAACATCGCAGCCCTAGAAGCGCCGGTATTCCTCCTTGCTAAAATTAAAGAGCTCTGAATTTTAGACAAAGTAAAAAAAATCAAACGCGCGTTTACCTGGATAAAATTAACAGCACAATTCGAGTCCCTGGTTAGTCTCGCCACAAAGGCAAGAATCGTATGAGCAGCAGTATGGTGTATCAGCGACTTATGAAGAAGACTAACTACCATCACAAGTAACCTTGATGTTTCTGCTGTGGTCCACACAGACTCCCTTTCCTGCAAATGATATTACTCTTTTTCTTATACTGTTTCGAGGGTAAACTGTAAGAAATAATAGCTGTGCAATTCTGACCGATTTCTTCAGAGTTTCAATGTCAATCTCGGCACCATCTGGAAGTTCAGCAAAGACAGCCTGATTGCAAGCCAACCCATCTCTCTGTCTCATTAACGAAAAATCCACGGTAAAATCTTTTTCCTTCCTTAATATATAAACTTTCATCTTTACCATGATCCAAGATTGAAGAAGGAAAGAGAACAACAAAAAAACAAACCTTGGTATTTTGAGTACACAATTTGTCTTTCCCGAAAAGAAAGCTTTATTTAGTTGCAGCTGATTTACTGGTGAGTACGGCTGCCACTTTTTATGACCTGAAAGCATTTGAAATAATTCTATGAATCCAAAAAAAAAACAAAACATACTTCTTCCCGTTCCAATGCGTTCTTCCTCAGCATGGTAAGACCATTTTAGCTGGGGAGAGGCCGCCTTGAGAATATTTCTTCTTTTGATAGCTCGCATTCCCTTGTCATAAAGATCGAGCCATAAAACAACAGGGGAGAGCAAACTGAAAATGCACAGTTGAGAAAAAAAAAACAGAATCTATGAGCACCTACCCATTCTGCATGTAATCAACATCGAAATTGTCATAGACAAAACCCAGCAGTAAAAGCATTGTCGACACCATAGGATGTGTGCCAATGGCCTAAACAAGTGAATGTAAGTAACCGCTATTTCTTAAAGCAACTTATAAAATGGATTAAAAACTACAAACCTCCAGATATTCGTCTGCAACATGATCAAAAAGAAGACATGCAAAATGGATTCTTGTTGCAAGTACACGAACGGCATGTTCCGATGGTCCGTTCATTACAGAACGTGCCATAATAATGATCTAGAAGTTGGTTTATTTTGTTTTGAAAGGCCTAAACACATTTCGGTATATGATTGTACCTCTTCTATCATAATCTGACCAATAAGCTGACGCCGTCGCCATTCTTCGTCAAGGGTACTCACCATACCCGAAACAAGGTCAGCACATGAGAATACCAGATCCGAGCCGAGTTCCATAAGACGTTTGCACAAAGGCATAAGTTCAATACAAGCACGAGAAATGGACAAATCCGTCTACAAAGAAAAGGTTAACACCAAGCCAAGGGTGGATTGGAATATCCTACTATAGTTGGTCAATGAAAACTCCATCACAAGAAATGGCAAAGGAAAAAAAATAGCATCAAAAAAGCATTTCCTTGCTGAGCAATGTCATTGGTAATAATTTATATTAATAACATATATTTACAAAACGATTAACAACAACTAGACCAAGATGTAAACAACGAGAGTGCTTGAAGAAATAATAATAAAACGTTCACTCACATCAATGTTGAGCTCTTTTAGAGGTGTAATTATCGGCATTTCTATGGAATCTTCTGCATCTAGTGAATTACTGGTACCCGCTTTCTTATTCGTTTCTCTGTCTTCAGCTGTTGAACCACCTGGAATTCGAGCAGACTAATAAGCATCTCAGCTGTTATGAAAGAATACTTCAAAACTCACTAGAAGAGCCAGCAACTCCAAGCAAGAAGGGCAGATTGGCGTCAACAAATTCGCCTTCCTCAAGATCACCGACATCATTGTTACGTTCAAGAGCCTTCAAATAAGCAAATCATGGACTAGTCGAAATCTGTAAGTTCACTAATTACTTGCTGAAGTCCCGCAGCGTTCCTATTGATAAGCCACTCTGTCGCACCCTCAGTTGAGCCTGTTTCCTCTAATGCTTGGACAACTAGTTCATGTGGGAAGCCCATATCAACCTAT